ACATTTTGTAGTGAATGCGATGAGATTCACTTCATTGTGAAAATAAATTATCACTCTATGGTAGTAGGGGATGGCTTAGCAAAAAATGACACTGTATATTTCCAACAGCATGGCTTGGTTTTATGTAAAATCGAAAAGTTTGAGCAACAAATTTCCTTGGTGGCAAATTAACAATGTTAAAAACACACTCAGTTTTGGTCTTGAGTTGAGACTTGGAACAGAATTCGGTGAATTAAATCAGAAGAATTCTCTGGCACACCACAATTTCAGTTTCCAATCCTGAACCTGTTTCCCCCGATCCCTAGGTGGTTTACCTTTGCTTTTGTGTGCTTTATTTGCCCATCAATGAGTTAAAGCATTAAATCCATGTGCCGTGGTGTCTGTTTCCACTCCCATGAAAGAGGTTAAAGAAACAAAGGCAATTTGAAAAATATTCTTCAATGATCAAAAAGGAAAACGGATGGAGTGATGGACGTGATGTTTTTTGGTAGGTAATGTGCTAGGACAAAGATCATCGTTTTGCTTTAATTTGATTTGGTTTGTTCCTATATGTCACTGGGGTCCAGTTCCACAATGCAACTCTACACAGTACTATAGTATAATCTCAGTACCAACCATATATCAAGCACTATTTGCTTTTCTGTTCCTGGGCTGCATATGGTCAATGTTTGCCTCAAGACTCTCACTTCTATATATCACAACCTTTGAAGGTTGGTTAAGACTTTGTATATTGGCATCATTTGTGAGTTCAGATATGTAATTCTCTGTCCTACATTGTACTCATTTAGTTGCAATTTTTTTTTTTACAGTAAATATATATACATACATATAAATTAAAATTAAGTTTTTAATTTTTATAAGTATTAAAAATACAAATTAATTATTTTAATAATTAAATAATAAACTTAAAATTATATGTTTAATTAAAAATATATATTAATTCTTAAAACTTTTATTTATAAGTTTTTCTTATTTATTATTTTATATATTATTTATATTATAATATAATTATTAATTTATAATTTAATTTAATTAAAATATATAAGTAAATTAAAATTAAAAAAAATGTGATACATCTCTTTAAAATTCGAATTCAAACTCGTCTCATTTTTTATAAAAATAAAGACAGAGAAAGCAAAATATGTCTGACCAACTCTATTGTCATTTTTACATGCATTCAATCTCTTATCATTGTAGTCTATGAGAATGAAAAAATTAGTTAAGTCTCTTTCTTTTTATTAACTAGAATTTAAAATTAAATCCAACTTTCTTTGTGTATCCTTTCATATAAATTTATGTTGATCTAAACTTTGAATTTATGAGATCATATTTTGTTGTAATATAAATTTTTATGTTAAAAAAAATCTTTTATCATTGTAAGTGGACTAAACCGCTAAAGATAATCACTCTTCCCAGGAGAAAGAGATAACATATCTTGCGGTTTTAGGGGAGTTTTAAAATGATCCTCAAAACCCTCCACAATGGCATGGGGCCGTCATCTGTAACTCCATAACGTACCTTTTCTTCTCCTACATTTTTTTCTCCTCCTAGTTTTAACGTTTTAATATCGTAGTAGATGGATTTGAATACTTTGATGGACTACATTAATAGTTATTATCATTATGTTTTTTCATTATTTTTATTCATTTATTTGGCTGATCAATTCATAAATTATTTTTTTTAACTCTTTTAATTTCTTTTTTAATTATGGCTGGAAAATCCCACCTATCCCACAACTAGGGATAACATCGGAAAGGGATGAGTACGGGTTTTTCTATAGTTGTCTTTATTTTTATTCCTGTATTTTTATATCTATTCCTGTTCTCATGTGTAATAAGTATAAAATTTGTATTCTCATTTTTGTAATTGTTCGGTATTGAGTATATCTATATTAGTCTCATATTTATCTAAAAATTAATTAAATATAATTTTTTTAAATATATAAAAAAATAAATTTTAATATAAAATAGTAATTATAAAATTATATTAATTAAGTTTTATTTGACATAAATTAAAATAAAAGTAAAAAATCACATAAAATTTAAGTAAATTATGAAAAAATAAATATTTATAAATTTTAAACAAATGTAAATACGATACTGTATATATATATATATATCTCCATCCCTTACTCAATTTAATAAATTAAATATTATTTATATCTGTATGTAATCAAATTAAATATTCTGATGAATTTAAATATAATCCACAAATACATATTTCCTTATCATCGCTGTAAACAACCTTATTTTCAACTCCCTCTCAAATACTTCAACCCATCTAAAGTTAAAAAGACTCTAACTTTTCTTGGTTTTAGCAATGCTAGAAATTCTATATGCTATAAGTTTTTGGATGACCAATGGTTAATTCTTCCCAAAAGCTTAATGATATTATGGATTATGCAAAACAGATGTAATTGAAGGTGTTGTTAATTTCATAAGATATTTTGTAGTGCATGTGAACGTGAACCGGGAATCCTACTCACTTTTAGAAAAGAATTAACGTTCAACGCAAATTGATTGTGCGCAGAGAGAGAGGTATTATTGGATAATGAGACAACAGTAGTTATCCAGTATACAGCAAAGTGCAGAAGCTGAAGTAGCAAAAAAGTCAACGACAGGGACCAGCCTTTTCTTTGGAATGAGGTAAGGCAGTGTTCACTACTGGCGCAAGATAGCAGAGACACAAGTCAGTCAAAGGAAAGCACTACCTTGGGTTTCGCCTCAAGTTTTACACTTGTCGCTAACTCATTCGCCTATCTTTCCTACCAACGGCTACTTCGTCGGAAAAGCTATCGCATGGTTTCCCGCAACGACTAAAATTATTGCCCACCACTTTACCTTCACTTTATGCAATTTTTATACAAATAATCATTCATACGTATAAAATTAATTAAATTATTTTTTTTTTTTGAATTTTAAATTAAAATAAATAACATTTTATGATTTTATTAACTTTTATTTTTTAATTTTTATGGTTTTGGAAAGTAAAGTTCCAGAAACTTACATTTTTGGAATCTGTATAATATTATATCCAAGTGAAACAAAGGTGATGCAAACAAATAATAATCATTCCTATGTGTCTCGTGCGTAAAAAAAAATTGTCTTCTATCCACCATGTCTTGTATCCATTGAATTTTAACAATGTCTACGAATATGGGTAAAAAGAAAAGGCAATGACTACGAATATGCGTAAACATCTTTTAACATTGAAAAGTTATAAAGTATAAACGATAAAAAGAAGGTAAAATAGAATCGAAATACATTTACATTAATGGTATACTTATAGTCAATTGACGTATTTCTAGAGCTTTTATAAAAAAAATAAATAAATACCTCAAAAAAATACTTCTAACTTCATATATTAAAAATCACTAGATTTTGCGGTAAAAGAAAAATCATTAGATTTTAGGAAAAAAATTTCAAAAATATTTTTATTGGAGAAAATTAATTAAAATTGAGAGGACCAAAATGCAAACAAAAAAACTTTGAGAGGATTAAAATAAAAATAACTAAAATTATAGGGATTAAAACAAAAAACTTTATTTTTTAAGGACTAAATATATATTTGAAGTAGATTTATAAAATTTAAACATTTAAATAAAATAAATCCAATAAGATTAACAACTTTTATGAAATTTTTTGTTTAAAGTATAATGTTCTAAAATGATGACTAAAAATTAATATTTTTATTTTGTGTAAGTGCAAATTAAAGTTTAAAGTTTATAACTTTAACTTAAATGCAAGTTTTGTGTCTTTAAAATAAAAATATTTAATTTTAATTTTTTCAATTTTGATTATTTTTATTTTACTTCTCTTAATTTTAGTTATTTTTATTTAAATTTTTCTAAATTTTAGCTGATTTCATTTTCGTAATTTTCTATTTTAATCTCTACAATCTTTTAACTATTTTTTTTAATTAAATTTAACAGCCAATCCGATAGAAAATACAAAAATAAAACAAAGAATTTTACGGAGGAATTTTGAAAAAAAAAACTAAAAATCAAAATCCTCTTTTTATTATTATCTAGGAAACAATATAAACTTTTTTTTTATAAACATAATCTAGGGAAGGTGATGAAAATTAAAGATTAAATATGTTGTCGCGTGTTGTATACCTTTCTGATGCATTAAGATTTGTGTACATAATAAATGAGGTCAAAAGAAAATACTCCTATGGATTAAAGCTGAAATGAATTGAGGGAAGAAAAATAACATCATCAATTGTCTTCGTGTCAGTGGGACCCTCCTTCAAATCTGTGACAGAGACGGCAGTTTCATTTCTCAGCTACTCCTCATCATGCTCTTGGCCCTTTCTTCCACACACACACACTCTCTCTCTCTCTCTGCTCAATATTTCTTTTTTGGGTTTTACTCTTTTCTTTTTACTTTACAACTAGAAATATAATAAGCTTGTTTTCTCTTGCTTCTCAGATGACTAGAAATTTATAATATTTAATATACATTAAAGCTGGAAGCTCTGTATTCTTGTGCCTGTGTGAATTGTCAAGCTAAGCTTGGTCCTCTCTTTTCACACCTTTCAATCTCGATACCATGGAAGAAGAATCTAGGGTTTGACAGAGCCAAGTCCATCAAGGTCCGTGCTTTGGGGCTTTTACTTTTTTTTTTTTTTTTTTTTTTTTTTCATCAGAAGTTGGGTGCCATTCTCTGCTTCTTCCCACACCCAGTTAGGTCTTCCTTACTTTCAAAAATTAACCCTTTCATGACCTGAAATTTTGAAACTTGAACCAGAAATCATATACTGTTTGGTGAAAAATGCGTTTTTTCCTGCTCATATCTGGGTCTCTTTATCCCAATATGCCATTATGCCATATGGGGCCAAATGTACAATGTATTTTATTGATAATAAGAAAACTTTCTTAGAAGTCTGCTGTGCTTAGCTTAGGTTTGTATCCCTCTTTGAGCTTCGGAATTAGGTTTTCTCTATTTTATTTTAGTTATTTTTGTCTCTTTTTTTGCCCCAGATAGATAGAGGCTAAAATGGAGGAGGTTGAAGAAGCTAATAGAGCAGCTGTTGAGAGTTGTCATAGAGTTCTGAATGTGTTGTCTCGGCAAGGGGATGAAGTTCAGTATAGGAATTTAGTTGTGGAAACTGGAGAAGCTGTAGTGAGGTTCAAGAATGTTGTTTCCAAGCTAAGTAGTGGTTTGGGTCATGCAAGAGTTAGGAAGAGCAAAAAACTTAACATCCCTTTTTCTCCAAGTATCCTCTTGGACAACCTCACCTGCAAAACCGATCACCATTCAAAAAATCTGCAGTTTCCTCACAATTCAGTTCAGGAATTGGGTCCAACCGTTAGAAGTTCACTCTACGCGGGGAACCCTTCTTTGGAGCTGAGCTCCAATGAGATAAGTCCTCTTCACCTAAGCCAACAAACTTCATCCACTCACTACCACATTCTGCAGCAGCAACAACAAAGGTTATTGTTGCAGCAGCAGCAGCAACAAATGAAACATCAAGCGGAAATGATGTTTCGAAGGAACAGCAGTGTCATAAACTTGAATTTTGATAGCTCTAGCTGCACGCCATCAATGTCTTCTACTAGGTCTTTCATTTCTTCCTTGAGCATAGATGGGAGTGTGGCTAACATGGATGGAAGTGCCTTCCATTTACTAGGAGCTGCAAACTCTGATCAGAATTCACAACAACACAAGAGAAAGTGTTCTGCCAGAGGTGATGAGGGTAGTGTGAAGTGTGGGAGCAGTACAAGATGCCATTGCTCAAAGAAGAGGTTAGATTCCCCTCCTCCACATATTTGAATTCACCTTTCTTCTGTGTTCTGGTATTACACTCTCCTACATTAATCATTAATGGCTGTTATCTCAAAGATTAAGAAGTCATTTTGATATGCCATTAATTATTCTACACGTACTCTGTAGGAAACATAGAGTGAAAAGATCAATTAAGGTGCCTGCTACCAGCAACAAACTTGCAGATATCCCTCCGGATGATTATTCATGGAGGAAGTATGGGCAGAAACCAATCAAGGGATCACCTCACCCTAGGTATGTTCAAATTCTTTCTGATATTTGTTTGATTTAAGTAGCATCCGATTAAAATTTTCTGTATTAATTTTGGAAAGGCTGACTTGGATTATAGTGCAGTTTGGTTTGCTTTTATGATTGTACTCATTTCTTTTTACCAGTAAAATTACGGATGATGCACCTGTATAATATTTTTTTTTTCCAGTTCATAACTGGTTGTGGTTGTGCTTCGGTTGGTGGTTATTGCACACCCCTTATGTGTGTAACTTGTTCCTAGGATGCATTCAGGTGGATCAGAACATTAAAACTTTACTGATTGAAATGGTCCTAGATTTTTCTTTCAAATGTTACATGCTAGTTCTCTTGATCTTTTAGAACCAACCTTGTATTCGTAGTGCTATGTGGTGGTTTGTTGTGGATTAATTACCAAACTTTTTCCATGGCCCTTCTTTAGTTGTGTTTCTGAATGGTGAAAACATGCTATGTGGTGGATTGTTGTAGATTAATTTCCAGACTTTTTCCATGGCCCTTCTGTAATTCTGTTTCTGAAAAATGAAAACAATGAGAAATTGATATATGGTATTTGGAAGTATCATCACAATTCATAAACACCTTCAACTAAGATGAAAGGTGAAGGTGGATATATTTTGCAAAGGACTCTTTATCATTCAACATGTCATCATCAACTAGGATTCACCATTTGACGTTCATAACCTTTGAATGTGAAATTTAGGTTTTATATTTTAGTAAATTGATTGTAATTGCCTCCCATTTTTTTTCTTCAGGGGATACTATAAGTGCAGCAGCATGAGAGGGTGCCCTGCTAGGAAACATGTTGAGAGGTGCTTGGAAGAGCCTTCCATGCTAATTGTTACCTATGAAGGTGACCACAACCACCCCAAGTTACCAACACAATCTGCAAATGCTTGAATTAAATGAAGAGATTAACCAAAGATCAAGCCCCATCGTACAATTTGTGGTTGGCTTGACATGATGCTGTATATATCTCAAGTGGTGCAAATGGGGATTTTCTTGGGGCAGGTTTTTGGCATTTGGTTAGTTTGGTAATGAGCTGTTTAGTTAGAGAGCGGGGGATGAGGATCAGTGATAAAATGAACTAGTTTGTAAAATTGGTAGTTTCCATTTGTATGAACTCATTAGTCTTTCTTAAATGCCTTTGAAGACGACTTTTTGAAAGAACTTATGAAAGTAGATTATGATATGTCTGTTAGTTTTTGTTTATTTTAATAATCTGTAGAATAATTTAAGAAATTTTTTTTAGAACTTATTTGAAACTAGTGTAATTCTATTTCTTCTTGGATCATAGAAACAACTTGTATATGATGGATTTGCATAATAAGTTCTTTTCAACTCAAAATTTCAAGGATTTTCTCCCGACATTCTTTGCTTTAACTCTTTATGTATACGCGAGATCCTTGTCAGTTTTTAAGTTTAAAAGTTTTTAGAAATTAAAAATAATTTTGAACTTTATTATTTTAGTAACATTTTTTTTGTGTTTTTCGTTTTAAATTCATGTTAACGTTTAAACGCAAGTTACATAAATTACTTGTTTCTTCTTTGGGTTTGTTTCGGTTATTTCTGGATATAATAACAATGATAATCAAATTAATGACAGCAGTTGATGATGATAACAATTACGATAGTAGGAGTAACAGTTTTGACAATGATAGTCATGTGGACAGCAATGCTAAATGTTAGCTGCGGTAAATTAGTAGTAACGATAAAGATGATATAGTGTAGAGGGTGGTAGCATTTTGACAATAAGTAGAGATATAATTAAATTCATTTAATAATATAAGATGTATTAAACAGTTCAGGATTATAAAATAAAATAAAAACATTTCAGGCCCAATTAAGACATAGTATGGCCCTTGCTGGATGTTGGAGTGGCAACAAGGCAACAAATTTGCTAACAACCGTTGTGTCGTTTTGTGGGATCTACTTTGGAAGTTGAATTTGATTTGGACCATGCATCAAGCTTTCCAGAGTGAGGAACTCAACAATTAATAGATGTAATAATAATTAAACTGTGTTTTGAATGAGATCCACAAGCTTTCTAGATTTGCATAAGTGCCATGGAAAGCTTCGTTGAATTTGTTGTTTATCATTATAGAAGTGTCTCTTTGATTTGTGGAGGTTACTCAACACAGCACGTGAGCTACAAAGACACCAATATGGGCAATCATACTCCACCCTAGTTTTCCTGCCTCCGATACCAACCGTTCTCAATATTATTCGTGAATTTTTCTGTCTTTTGCCTCCTTTCCGGGCAAATTATCTTCGGTGTTTTTATTTATCATATGAATATTTTAAAATTGTTTGCTAAGGAAAACTCTTCTAGAGAAATCTAATGGTAATTCAAATTCAAATTATTTAAGAGAGTAATCTACCTCCTCTTATTCCTACGGGAAGGTTATATATTTGTATTTTGATGTATCAAAATCCTGTATTATTTAGAGATACCTTTTAAAAATTCCAACAAGATTTTATCTCACTTTAGTTACGATAAATATCTATAAGTTTTAAGGTTAATGGTTAAAAATCTAATTTGGTCCCTTATAATATTTTTTGTTTCAATTTAGTCTTACTTTAATTTTTTGTTTCAATTTGGTTCCCAATAATTTAAATTATTACAATTTGGGACTTCCGTCCAAATGATTTAAACGGGGTTAACTCCTGGTAACGTGGACGTCACTTGGATGCCGATGTGGATGCATATGTGGATGCTTAATTTTTTCATGCATCTCAAACCAGAATAGCCCTGGTTGCACTCATGGTGCGTAAATTTTGCATCCGGAACGGGCGTTCCAGATGCATTATTTAACACCAACGAGTGCATCAGAGCGGACCATTCTGAAATTGGAACGGGTCGTTCTAGTTTCCAAAATAAGCTGTTCCGGATTCAGAACGGCCAGTTCCAGAATGTCAACCAACACACAATGCGATTCAAAGATCAAAGACAAACCATTTACACATACATAATTTTTTTTATCTAAAAAATAATATATTTTAAAAAATAAAAATTATATTCTAATAAATATATATATATATATCTATATTTAAATTATCATATGTATAAAATATAAATTTCAAAGAATTATTCATTTATCTCATATTTGTCAAACTTTTGTGCTTTCTATTTATTGTATATGTTGATAAAAAAAATCAAAATTGTAAAAATTTATATCACATATCAAAAACATCTTTATATGATAAATAAATTAAATTTGATTTTTATAAGATTTAACATATTTATTTTTATGTTTTTATTAGTGTTAAATTATTATTAAGTAGGTTTTTAAGATTGTAGTTCTAACCAAACATTTTAAAAAATGTCTATGACAGATAAATATATCATATTAATAACATTTATTTTTAATAAAAATTAGGTTTAATTCTGTTAAATTATAATATAACATAATCTGACATAATTTATTTTTATCCTTAATCGTAATTGTAGATATAAAAACTTGTAAAAAATAACTATAATATATATTTATAATTTTAAAAATTATATGTAAAATTTTCAATATTAAAAATATATAAATAAGTATTGCCCCCACGATCTAAAATTTCTAGATGTTACTGACTATAATCATCCAGTTTGGATTTAGCATTTTGGAACCAGAACGACCCGTTCTGAAACCAGAATGGCCCGTTCTGGTTACACTCTTGATGTCTTAATTTTGCATCCGGAACAACCCGTTCCAAGTGCAAAATTAACACATGAAGTGTGCAACCAGAACGGGTCGTTCTGGTTTTAGAATGGGCCGTTCTGGCTCTAGATACATTAAAAAAATTTGGCATCCACGTGACCAACAGTTAATTCCGTCTAAATCATTTGGACGGAAGTCCCAAATTGCAATAATTTAAATTATTGGAGACCAAATTGAAACAAAAAATTAAAGTCGGACTAAATTGAAACAAAAAATATTATAAGGGACCAAATTAGGTTTTTAACCAAGGTTAAACTATTGAATTTTTGTCTTGACTACATTAGTAGGTAACCAACACTAACTCTTAAATTTGGATCCAGAATGTATAAAAATAAAAAATAAAGCAAAAATATTATGAAATTTTTGTAGTTATTACCAAATTTGGGGAATAAGAAACGAATTTTTTTCTTCAAAGAAAACACCTTAATTTATGAGGTAGGAAAACCATTGTTTTGGGCACATCAAAGTAACATTTGAAATAAATAAGGTATCTGTTGAGCATTGGGAGGTTACCACACACATACACAAGTCTTCACATTGGTGAGATATTGTCCGCTTTGAGCTCAAGCCCTCACAGTTTTGCTTTTGAACATCACCCAAAAGGCCTCTCAACCAATGGAGACAACTGTGTGTCTATAAACCCATGTCCATCCTCTTATTTGAACGATGTGGAACTTTGCTTGCATCCCAAAAATCCCCCCTCAAACAAAGGACCACAGTTTACCCCCTCCCCTGTAGTGGAAACTACGAGTATTATCTGATGGTGGCCCATAGAGCTCATTTATGAGCTGAGTGCTTGCACCGTCGCTTCATCATGACCTCCCTCATGACAGTGGGACACACCTCCTAACCCTCCACCGTTTAGGAAGACTTTCGACACAAGGGATCCAAACTTGGATCCACCTGCCAGCCATCATACTCATCGAGTCGGTCACTTGATCAGACCATCAGCTCTAATATCACTTGTTATGACAATATGTAAAAGAAAAAGATTAAAAGAAAGAAGACGACACAAATTACGTGGTTCAGTCAATGTGACCTACGTCCACGAGCAGTTCAAGAATTTCTTATTTCTGAATGAATAAAGATGATGATACAGATGCCTTTTTGCGTTATAACAAGGAGAAAATATAACAACCTCATTACAACCCAAATAAAGATAGAAATTAGAGCTGTCAAAATGGGCCGTGACCCGTGGGCCAACCCGACCCACCTTGAAAACGGGCCGGGCTGGGCCAAAATAAATAATAGTTTTATGGTAAGTGGGTAAATTTAAACCCGGCCCACTTTTACCCGGCCCACTTGGGCTAAACCCGTGGTGGGCCGGGAAGCCCACCAGCCCACTTTTTTTTTTATTGCAACACCAACAACCAACCCAAATAGGAACAGTCCGAACAGAGAGCATAAAGTGTAAAACAAAACCAGTCAAAATTGAAATCTATGGTGTTGTTTGTTGGCGCTGGATTCACAGGCCTACTCCCAGTCCCAGATAATTTAGGATTTATTCTAGCCAGGTTGTATTATAAAATACTTCTCCTGTTGGTTCAATTGTCGTTACCTTCGCGCTTCCGTGTAATTATAGGACTGAAACCCTTTTGTGCAGGATTGGTTATGTTTAAGAATAGTGTCTTACCTCAGGATTGGTTATTATTTTGCAAAATGGTTTTATTATGTGGGGAAGCTGTATATTCCTCAACTAAAAGCATGTTTGCTTCGGTTTCTAATTAACAAATGATGATGCGTGCCCCGGGCTTTTGAAATTTTAAATTTTGTTTGTATTTTTTTTTAATTTTTTGGTGGGTTGGTGGGCTGGCCCGTTTGACCCACCAACCCGTGGTGGGCCGGGCCAGGTCATAAAAATTCTGACAAAATAAAAAGTGGGCCGGGTTGGGTTGGCCCGTTTTTAAGGTGGCCAAAGTGGGCCGGCCTGGCCCGTTTTGACAGCTCTAATAGAAATAGTAATAGACAAAATATAAATTCAAGGCATCTCAACAATTCTCCACCTTGACTTGAATTTTCCCAAGTCACCAGTAACCAGGAACAACTCTCTTGCCTATTCTCCCCGAAGGGTCTCAAGCGATGTGAACATTCACCAAGTCCAAGCTATGCTTAAACTTTTCAAAAGACAAAGGTTTAGTCAACATATCTACTGGATTGTCTACAGTAGTTATCTTCTCTATGGAGAACAATTTGTCTTCAATTACATCTAGTATGAAATTCAATATAACATCAATATGCTTTGATCTTTCATGATAGACTGGATTTTTTGCCAAACACAAAGCACTTTGACTATCACAATAAAGTATACACCTCTGCACATTCAAACCCAAACTATCAATAAGACCTTGCAACCATATACCTAACCCCATGTATTCCGCTTCAGTGGTAGACAAAGCAACAGTAGGTTGAAGTGTTGCTTTCCAACTAACAGCACAACCATAAAGAGTGAAGATATATCATGTCAAAGATCTTTTCCTCACGAGAT